TTAAATTTGATTGAAAATTTTGGTTTGAAATTTATTGTATTGATCGAACATTTCTAATTTTGCCTTTAGTTCTTCTGGGTATTGCTCGTTCCTAAATATTATTATATAATTGAGCATCTTTGTTAATCAAATCCATGTATAGTGGTAAGTATTCCCGTCTGTTACGCGGGAGACCCGGGTTCGATCCCCGACAATGGCGTTCTCTTTCCCCAAAGCCGAAAGGCTGTTAGTGCAACTTTTACTTTTCTTCTACGCATTTTCTGGGAAAATGAAATAGAAAAAAAAGGCCATGAATTTTACGACCTTAAACGAGCTAAGTAAAACGTCCTCAGCATAATAGAAACAGAGAGATCTCCGCCGTCTGATCTTCCCTACTGAAACTCCCCTTCGTCCGATCATGACAACCAGCATCCATGTCACCGCCCTGGACAGTGTTGTGAACGTTAACTCCCTCTTCACGCTCGCCGTCTTCATCGGCCTAACGTGGAACCCTTATGATTCCAGCAATACCCTCGTCGACCCAGGTAGCCGATGTTTCCCAAACTCAAAAATCGCAGAAGACTTGATAAAATTCCACGTCTACTCCTTCAGTTCCTTCCTCTTCTCCAGCCTCGTCGCTTTAGCTCTTAAACAAGCAATCAAGATCTCCAAAACCCATGCTTTTAACATCGATATTAGGTTCCGTGGTTCTGAGTTTTTGGAACATGTTGATGTTAATAAGACATTACTTCGGGTCGGGATGTTGGTTTCAGGTGCTGGGTCGGTGGCGGGATGTGTGTTTTTGATGTTGGCTTTGATTAATGTAGTTCAGATAAAGGTTGGGACTTTGGCTTGTGGGAGTGGATATGCGTTTGCAGCGGTTGTTCCTCTTGTTATTTTCGTTCCACTTGCTCTTTTGATATATGTTTGTTTCGGGCTTTATGCTTTTACTCGTTAAGGTTTTGGTCTTCTTCTTCTTCTTCTTGGGAACCTTTGTTTTATTGTATGATGTAGTTGGAATTATAGTGGAATGAAGGGATTATGTTGTAACTTGGGTTTGTTATTGTTGTATGATCTAGGTGGTTTTATAATGAATCAATAAAGAAAAGGTTTAAACTTTGAGAGAATTGAGTTTTCTTGCTTAGATTTTTCTTGATTTGAAGTGTTTTTGGGTTTATTTTGTTGCATGATCCAAGCTAGAATTATAATGGAACATAGCTATAAAGATTGGAACTTTGAGAATTGTTGTTGATGTTTCATTTGGGTTTTTGGTTTCTTCTGGGATCTTTTTCTTGTATAAAGTTGTTTTGATACTGTATTTTCACTTGGGCTTTTGATTTTGTTGTTATTATTGTTGTATAATCTAGCTGAGATTATAGTGAAAATATGGGTGTGATCACATTGAAATTTTAACTTTGTAATTTCAAGGAATGGCATTTGTGTTCTTTCCGTACGACTAAGGAGAGATCATGATGAAAAGGGGGTTTATTGTCATAAAGATGTGAAATGAACATATTTGTTAGACTTTTAGTTCGTAGTTTGCCAGATCTGTTTGGGTTTTTGACAGAACTGGTGAAGAAATTTTCTTTATTATCTAATTTTAATGGGTTGGACAGTGCAGGTATCAAGTCGGTGGAGATCAGCTCTACGTTTCAGAACAGTGAGTAGTGTTTGACAAATTGCTAGATTTTGTATTTCACCGACATATGAACTGGGAAACAAGTTGCTTATTGAGGTTACTGCAGGCATTGAAGTCTTAGAACATTGTTTTAATGAGTTACAGATGAGAAAGTAGCAGGAATAAAGACCCAAAAACCACAAGCTTATCAGCCCACAAACATGCTATGAAGGCAGAATAGAAGAACGTAAGGTAGTCAATATACTAGGTTTTTATAAGCTAATGCTGTGTGTTCAGCTTGAAATGATACCTTAGTTGTTTATAGATGTATCAATGTCGGCTTGCATTTCATGATTCTGGTTTCCATGAATGTTTAAACTGTGGATGGGTTTAATAAGGTCGTTGGAAGAGATTCCAGAGAAACAAGATGTAATTGTTGACCTTTGATGGTCAGGTAACTCTGAATCGATGTTCTGGAATAGTAGGTGCTGCAGCTGATAAAAGACTTTTCTTTAGTTCCACATCCATTGTAATGGTGGAATTCACATGTATTTGGATATTTTTTAGCTATTTGTTTCAGCATAAATTGTTGAGAAGCATCTTTCTTTCAGCACAAGTTGTTGAAGAAATGGAAGCTCCAATGAAGTACATCTGTATTCTAGCGTTTCTTGTGATAATGACCATTGCAGGGTTCAATGGAGTGGAAGGACATGATGATTATGGTCCATGTGGGAAACATAACATTGAGAAGGAAGCTGAGAAGCTGGCACCTTGTACAAAGGCAGCCCAAGATGTGAAAGCTCCAGTTTCCAACCGTTGCTGCACTGTAATGGAGAAAAAGCTCAAGAATCCAAGCTGCCTCTGTGCTATTATGTTTGCACATTCAGCATACAACGCTGGAATCAAGCCAGAAGTTGCCGTGACCATTCCAAAACGTTGCAACATTGCTGTTCGTCCGTCGGTCACAAGTGTGGAGGTAGAATTCGCATATTACATAATGTGTTCTTGGTTACACCTTTTCTCCCTTGCCTTTATATAATGCTGCTAGTGTTAGTTCCATTCTCATGAAGCTATTGTTTATTTCTTGCAGCTTTCCCTCTCCTTTAAGTGTGAAGGCTCCCATTGTTCGTCGTCCTGTGCTTCCCATGGTTTGTTCTTGTTGCTAGTCAATCTAGTTGATGAGTTTCACTGTGACATCCAGCTGTTTGAGTGAAAAATAAAACTGCAGTTGGATCTTTGAATAAAGTATAGTTGTTTCCTTTAATAATACTAAATAAAAGGTTAGTTTTCTTTGCAAAACATTTGCTTGTTGCTCGATAACCATTTTCTCCAATTTATGCTGTCAATAGGATCAATAATGGAGAGGGTCACTTGAGTTGAACAATCTAACTGATATCATTGATGTTGTTGAACTAATGAGGCTTTTAGGATGTTTCATATTCAAGTGAGCTAAGATCGCATATCCTAAACGATATGAGTGGCAAGTTGCAAGAAGAGAACAGCTGGTGATTCAACAAATAGAGTAGACCAGCTTGGTTCTGCCATGAAAGTGAATCATGCAAGTGGTCCACTAAGAATTCACTGGTTTTTTTTTTTTTAAATTCGGGAAGGGACATTCAAACTTTGCTTATTGAACAGCGATTGATACATCAAGTGATGATCATCAATCATTGAACTAAATTCTCAGATAATGAAATGATTCGGGTGCAGTTCACTGGCTTTTTACTAGTAAATAGTGGTTAACTACAAGCAATGTTTATCTGGTGTATTTGGAATTTATAAAGCAGGACAACATGCCAACAGACCGATATCCTATATATTGGTGAGGAGGAAGATTTGGGTAGCTAGCTCTGTGGAAGAAATGATTAAAAAAAAAAAAAGAGATGAGGGTTAGCCGATTAGGAAAAGAGAGAATTTAGAATTTTGGATTAACACTAGGAGTAAAAGCAATAGAACTGTCGACATATACCATTCATTTATTCTCTTTATCTTGTAAGGAACTCTTTCATTAAGCCAATGAACTTCACACGAATTGTTGCCAGGAGGACTTTACAAGGAACATTGATTATCTGATTCCCCGAGTTTTAATTTGTACATGCAGTCATTCATAAGAGCAATATCCAGCAAGTCTGGTGTTCAAATTCTAATATTCCCATATTGCGATCTCCTTTGACTCTAGAAGAGAGGGTAATGGATATGTGTAGAAGTCGAACTTGTTAGATGCTATGCTGTCAGCTTCTCATGAAAAGGTTCTTTTTGCCCCTTCAGGATAAAGTAGTGGAATTACAGTAATGGCTTTAGCAGGCACTAACCGCCATTGGAGTAGTAGGTGCTGCAATAAAAAAACACTTTTCTCTAGTGCTACATCCACTACGATTTGTGGGTTTCATATGTATTACTCATTAAAAACGTTTTTAGTTGATTGGTTTTACTATAAATTTTGAAGTTGAGAAGTGTCTATGCATTGCGATATTGAAGAAATGAAGTGCATCTGCTTTTTGGTGTTTCTTGCTATTTTTGGCATTGCTGAGCTCAATGTAGCAGAAGGAGCTGGTGAATGTGGGAGATCATCCCCTGACAGTGAAGCCTGGAAGTTGGCTCCTTGTGCAATGGCAGCACAAGATTTGAATGCTCAAGTGTCTGACAGTTGCTGCCAACAGGTGAGGAAAATAGGCCAGAATCCAAGATGTCTCTGCGCTGTTATGCTTTCTAACACAGCTAAGAGTTCTGGAATCAAGCCAGAAGTTGCTGTGACCATTCCTAAACGCTGCAACATTGATCGTCCCATGGGTTACAAATGTGGAGGTATATTTTATTTTTACAGTATTATTTACAGACTCTTTATCCATTTTTCCTCTGCTTTTACAAGATTCACCAAGTTTGACTCTCATTTTCCTTCTTCATTTGCATCTCTTGAAATTGCTTCTTACATTTTGCAGATTACACTCTGCCTTGAGCATGAAGGCACAAGTCATGTTCCTGGTGATGTATTTGAATGATACATAAAAGATTGTGTTGTGTTCAGTAATCTTTCGATAACTTCAAGTATTTTCTTACTGCTCAATGCTCAAAAACCTCTCCTCAATAAATGGAATTCTTGAAACCCTTATCTTGCATGATTCCTATAAAATAAACCAGAATATGGAAACCAGAATTTGAATCCAGTGGAACTACAGATCACATGACTGTTGGCAACATATAACTTCTCTTTGTGATCATTCATTGTATATAAGATGCTAAAATGCATCCAATCTTGAAAGTGAAATCAATATGAGAGAAGGGTATACTATATATGTCAATATATAGTTATAGTAATCCATTTTCTTGTGGGAAAAATCCCACAGAGCAAAGTTCACAACAAGAAGATTAGATTAGTCAGGCAAAAGAAAAGTAGATAAACGTATAATACATGATTCCGGTGTGCTCCGAACTGTCTGCCCTAAATATATCAGCTTACAGTGTCAAAATTCTTCCTCAAAGTCCTAAGCTGTGTTATGCTCTATATGCTTCTACTGTATTGCTAGCTATCTACCAGGCTTATTTCCATAGTAATAATACGATTAATTATGCTGCTAGTGTTCCTGCAAAATAGCCCACAAATATAATTTCAATCAGCTTGATCAAAGAAGTATGCAAAGAAACATGGAAGTATGCTAGACTATAAGAAGAAATATTATGCCAAGAACATAAAAGGAAAATTGGTTTCTGTGTTTTTTTACTGTTATTATTATTGCTATATTTTTGTTTGGCGATATGCATAAAAGTCAAGCACAAATAAGGTGGGTGATTTCTTTTCCTTGTCAGTTGAATCCTCTATGAATAAATTTTCAAAGTGGTGAATGTAGAAAAAAATGTAAAACAGAAGGGTGCATATATATACAGATAATGCAAAAAGGAGATCCATCAGACAATTTTTAATATATACCTTAAAGTATTGGGATGGAAAGTTTGCATTATTTTGGATTAAGATGTTAGTAATAAAGTGAGCCTGTACAAACAAAGAATAAATTGATTAAAGATTGTTCAATATTATAATTTTTATGGACAGTGAAGAGTATTTTGTTTATCAACAAAAATCCACAGCTTTCATACCCTGCCACCAATTCCCTCTTGAAGCACCACCAGAATTGTTTCCATTGGGATCATCATCTCTCCCATCCTTCTTGAACTGTCAAAACAAAAGACCAAGAACAAAGAAATCCCTGGCAGTTAGCATGTAGAGAAAGCAAGATGCAGGACCTAACAAAGTGTTTGTTAAGGAATATTGTAATGTGTGTTATAGTTACATAATGGGGAGACTCAGTGGTCTTCTTCCTTGGAGAATAATTTTCTTGGCCTCCATAGTAGATAGATGAGCTGAGATTGCAAGGTTCCACTGTTTCATTATGATAAACGGATGTACTCGTCTTTGTTAGTTGTATCAGTGGTGTGATCTAAAACAAAAATGTGAAGGATTCACATTATATTCTCTCATCCAGCTTTCTCATGTCATCAGTTGCTTGAGAATCCAGCAAAAGCAACTTCATATAGTTTGTTTTTATCAAATTAAAAGAACTCAAGGTTTCCTGCTACTCATCTAAGAACCAGCACAAAAGGCAATGACAAAAGCAACAAGGCATGACAAACCTGGATTTCCATATTTGCCATGATGGGGCAAACCCTGATTATTCCATGACCCCATCATTCCAGAGTGACTGGAGTCCCTCCCTAGCACCTGAAATCAGAAAGAGAACAATTCAGACCATTGCAGCACAATTCCATTTAAAACAACCGGCAAAATCTATAAAAATTAGAACAAAAAGAAGGATAATCACAATAAAGAGAAGCCATGCATAGTTACAAGTCACCAGGGTCAAGTTCTATTGCACAGTCTAATCCAAAAGCACACATTCTAGCAACTATTGGAATATACAAATCAGCCTACATTTTCTTTCTTCTCCTTCACTTCCAATATCCCTTCTCTTTCATCAATGACGCAAATCACTTAGAAAAGTTAAAATATTCAAAAGAAAAATGAGTATACTCCACTAGCTAGTATATCTACCCACCAAGTGAATCATAAAAAAAGGTTACAACAAGCACTTGATGAACAGACTTTAGTGTATATATATAAGCTTCTCTCTGCATCTTTTCAAGAATCATTCACTTAAAAATATAAATCACATCAACTTTTTGATCATCATTCAAAGCCAATTCCAGGAAGTTGGAACAAGGAAATGTACCAAACTAATTAAACAATAAACTTATCTTTATACTATACATCAACCTTCTTAACTCCAATCTAGAATTACCTCTCAGTACCAAAATTTCATATATTTTCAAGTACATAGTTGCCTAAAGAGTAAACGGTATTTTCTTTTTTTCATGTTAAACCATTAAAAAATCAACAAAGTTGTATCATTTATGAATACAAATTGATGAGCAAAAAGTCTAAAAACCAGGTTTTTCTTTTTTTTTTTTTTTTACCGTTGGTGGAGGAGGGAAAATGGTGTCAAAAATCCCACTTTTGGATGAAGAAGAAGAAGAAGAGTCCTTGGGACCAAAGAGATGATCCAAAGAAACAGATGATGATGATGAAGAAGAAGAAGAAGAAGAAGAACCACTCACTTGCCTTTTGTTTTCCATACCAGAAAAAAGTAAAACTTTTTTTTGTTTTGTTTTTCTTAAAAGCTTTCTTTGTCAACCAACGAACAAAACTACTTTGATAGATCTTAACAGAAACGACCCTAAAAAAAAACAAACAAAAAGGAGGCTTGCAGTGGATAAAAAAACAAACAGATAGACTAAAGAAGGCAGATAGAGCAGCAATGGAAAGCAAAGCAAAACAGAACGAGAAAGCTATAGGGAGAGAGAGCACATGAAGAATGTTGATTTGAGGAGATATCGTTTGTTGGCAATCTGTCTAAGCTATTTATAAGCCCAAGAAAGAGTTGAAAGTCTTCAGGAGGCAAGGAAAAACCAAGGCTAAAAACCCATGTGAAGCTATTCCTTTTGTGTCTGTTTTTTGGCACAAGGATGCACCAGTCAACACCCAAGTGGATATTTCTTTTGCCTCAAATCCAACCTTTGCTTGCCATGTGTTTCCTGGCGTATTTCTTTGACTTTTGGTGTTTTGGATTGTTGGGATTCTGATAGAGAATAAAGAGGAAGAGACAAAGAAAATTTTTTAAAGGTTTTTCTATGTTATATATATATATATATATTGAAAATATTGCTCTAGTTGAGTTTTTGAATATCAAAACATCTCCATTACTCGATTTAATATTTTCTCTTTTTTATAATATTTAAAGTTATCAAAAATTGAATCTTATTAAAACCCTAACATTTTTATCTATAAATCACAATTGTTTGACAATTTACTTTTTCATTTAATTTAATTTAATTTTTTATTTAAAATTAATAAAGTACAAAAAATAAGAGAAAAGGGTGTATTTGCTTTTGTTCTTTAGTAAAATCAAGTCACCTATTTAAATCTATTAATTTAACATGGATCTCATTTATAATATTATTTTGTTATACAATTTTATAAAACAAACTTAAATTTAATTTTTGTTAAAAAATATATTGAAAGTTACATATATTTTTATTTTTTTGTATATGAAAGGTTGTAACTTAAAAGTAAAAAAATGAGTTGTAGATATTAAAATTTGAACTCAAAATTTACTAAATATTATTTTTAAAAATAATTGAACTGATTAAATTAAATTTTGAATTACGTGAAATCTTAGCAGTTAATTCAATGTGATAAAATGGATAAGGTTAGTTGGGCTCAAGTTGATGTTATGAAAAAAGAAAAGATTTATAAGATATTTTTTAAGTGAAATTTATGAAATTTTCTTTTAAAAATGATTAAACAAAAATTTAAATTGAAAATTAAAATCAATAGATCAAATAAATATGATCAAAATTTAATTATAAATAATATTTTTAATAATTTATATATATTATTAATCTTTATATTGAACTTTATTAATTAATTATTTAAATTATTTTTTAAAAAAAATCTTATAAAATATGCCTTTGTTACTCTTTTGAACATTTTTTTTTTCAGCTCATCAGAATCACTGAAGATACCTGATGCCATGCAATGAAGATATTACAGCAATCTAACTATTATCTCAACAAGTCTTTCAAAGAAATAAAGACCGAATATATATCCAGCAGAATCATTGAAGATACTTTATGCCATGCGATGAAGATATCACAGCAATCTATCCATCTTCTCCACAAATCTTCGGAGAATTAAGGACCGAATATATGTAGAACCATTGAGAAGGTGCTGGATTTTGATTTCTTTCAACTTGGACATGTATAATTAGATCTGATCATTCATGTATTTGTGTCATATATAATATTGAAATTCATATATTCATATTGTATTTTACACGAAAATTACATGTCACAATTCGTATCAACATAAAAATATATAATATATTTTTTTAGCTTTATTAAATCCATATATGATTATTGCTAAAATTTTAAATTGTATCACTTTCGTATCTTATTTTTATGTTGTATTTGTGTCGTATTGTTATATCATATTTTAAATTATGAGGTTTGTGTATAATATCAAATGATTTTAAAATACAAAAAGTTAATTAATTCATATTAAAATTAGTATATTGACTCAAATATTATTATATAATACATCTGTTGAATTTTTTTTAAAAAATTTTATAAACACATTTAAAAGATTGGCATTTGTTCTTTAAGTTAGGTTAAAATTAAGATAAATGTGGAAGTTTGTGATATCAAATAGTAAATTAGATTTATTAATTAAATTATTGTATAGTTAGTTTCAAATGCTTTAATAATTAGCATAACTATTTTCAAGTCAGACAATTATTAACTAAAAAAGGAAAAAATTCCATAGGCTTGTAATTTACTTTAATAATACCAAAAACATAAAACATTATGACAATTATAGAGAGATTGTGATTAGATAATGACATTAATTAAGCAGGGAATAGCAATGATTAGTTGCCACAATATTTTCTCCTTTAGTTAATCTCATCAACCTAACTAACTAAGAAATGGTGGATTCATAAAATTTCTAATTGGAGGAATGAAGATAACTTTATCAATAAAAATCCAAATCTTGCCTAATAATTTAGGCTAAATAATTGTTGGGTTGCATATATATCTTTGACATTAATTTCAAAGTTGACAAAAACAACATTTATAATTGAATTTAGATAAACATTAGAATTCAAGATAAGGTTCTTAAACAATCAAAACATTATCATAGCTTTTTTTTTTAATCTACCTTTAAACCTTTTACTTTTATATTTATTTGGCTGATGAAGACATTATGTATATGAGTTTTTTGAACTCACATTCTCCCAACATCAACTCTAATATCATATTAATTGATCCAACGATCAATCGATAGTGGAATCATATCATAGTTAAATACAAAAAAAGGTGGTAAATTAAGAAAGAAAAAGGAACACTAATATACTAAAAAAGCATTTAAACTATTTTATTTTTCTTAAATAAATTCTTATATTTTTATTACATCCAAATAAGCTCTTATCTTTGAATTTATATTTAAATAAACTCTTATTTCAAACAAAAGATTAATTTATGTAAAGAGTTTGTTTAGGTAAAATTAAAATTAAAAATTTATTTAGATATAAATTAAAAATCAATGATTTATTTAAGTACAAATTAAAGATTATAGACTCATTTAAATATAATAAAAAAATAAAAATTTATCTTAGTAAAATGATAAAATTTGATAGTTTTTTTTTTTTTTATTGTTTTAGTTAGAGGGATCTAGTAATTTATTACTTTGAATTAGCAAACAACTGTTTTACACGTGTAAGCCTATAGCTTGAAAGGGTTTTATATTAATCTTAGATTGTAGGTTTTTTTTTTTTTGTAAATAAAAATTAAAAAATAATAAAAAAGTAATAAGATATACAAGACATAAATAATTTATATATACCTTCATATTGATTACACCGTAATTTGTTTGTTTTTTTTTTTTAATTTTAAGTACTAAATCGAAAGTTTAATATAATATAATTCGGGTATCACACATGTAATTAATCTTTTTGCTTTATTGGAAACTAATAATCTAATTTTCATAATCCTTTGATGATTTAAAAAACAAAAAATAGATATGCAAGGCATAATTAATTTATATATTCCTTGATGAGTTATGGAATTTTCTTTGATATCATTTCCTTTAGGTTCCTTTTGGATGGCTAAGGATAAGTGCTGAAGAATGATAACTTTTTTTCCCCCATGAATGTGCAATTTCAAGAGCAAAAGAAGTTAAGCTTTTGTCACATGCTACACCATTGGATTTTTGTTTGAAAGCATATGCCTACTCTCTAGTTTTTCATGCATGCATGAACATGATACTTAGAAATTCAGTTATTAATTTCAACCCCCAATTGCTTTTGCACAAACCACATCAAAGCTAATAATTGTACTTGTTGAAGTCATAAGATTCATATTCTTAATTTATGGATAGGGAGAGACTCCTTTAATATGTAAAGAGTATAATGAAATTTTGTCATGAATTTTGGATCAAGAGGGTTTGGTTCAAATGATTCACAAAAGATAAGCAATTATTGAATTACATATTAAAAAAGGGCTTGTTAGGTGTCACACTATCATGCATTACTTTTTTTTTTCTTTTAATTTGAAAAAATGAACATTTGATGTCGCTTAAGATGGGGATTATGTATCAACTGAATTAAATATTTAGATATATTTTATTATATTTGTTTGTTCGTAATCAACTGTTAATATTTGATTGTTACAGAAAAAATAGCATAACCAAAGTAACATAACAAGAGATAATCTTTTTATTGATATCGTATTTTTCAATATAAGATTTGAATTGACACCTCTAAATTAAAAAACTCAAATTTTAATTGAATTTATTGGAACAAGTATCTAAGTATTAATATATATCATAACTGAAAATGAAAGTAATTAAAAAGTGATAATGGATAATTTATGGCTGCAATTTATTCGAGGAATCAATTTGTTAGCATAACATTACAACTTAAATCCCATAAAAAACTATAAACTCTTGATTAATTACATCAACATCTGCCCATTAATCAATGACATGTCTTTTACTTCTTGTACCATGTCGTGGCTTTGCCTATCTTCATAATTTTTCTTAGCAGCAAATCTTCAATTAATAATAAACATTTATATATTTATTTTTTTTACAAAAAAAATTACAATTTAAGAATAAAAAAAAAGTTATTATTATTGAGATTTAAATTTTAAATTTATTAAATACCATATTTTAAGGATTGTTACATGAGCTAACTGACCGTTAAATTGAATTCAATTTTATCTCTTTTACATTTAGAAATTAGTTACATCTCAAATTAATTTGTTATTATCATCTTAGCTAGAAAACATATGAAAACTATTGGCTAAAAAAACATTAATTTCCTTTGCAGACAAAAAAGGTGAAATGATTCCCTTGATATTCAAGCAAAATATGACGACATTGATGCCACTTTCTCCTCAATTATTGCAAACTTGATACAATTTTTGAACGCATAATTTTTTTTAACCAAAAATGTTTAAACAATTAAGTTATGATTATTTATTCTCCACTAATGTTTCATTCTTTTTAGTAATTATTACTTTGATGTAAGAAGATAATTAATTATGCATGGCCGTAATTAATTCCAACTTGATTCAAAAGTAGTGATCTGACATTCCAATTAATATAAATTCTGTTTAGAAATTCAACACCCACCAAGGAATTTGATCCACTAGTCAAATTGCAACAAAGTGAAGAACATTCCTAGGTTGTCAGAAACATTTGTGAGTAATTTTCATGTTTCAACATATATGGAGTTGATTCTTGCAAGCCGGTGAAGTAAATTGACTTTTATGTCTTTGATTGTATGTTTCTTAACCAAGTGGCTCATGTGTAAACCTGTCTGATGGGACATGAGTTTTGAAGATGGAATCTAGTTTAATGGATAAAAAATTATCTTTTATTTAAATTTAATTTTAAAAATATATAAAATATTAATATAATTTTTTCGAACAATAATCAAGTTTATTTCATGGATCACATTGGACAAAAATTTTAAAGATTTATTTGATCTTG